GATTACCTGACACTGAAATGCACAAATAACTAAAGCAAATTTCGCCAACAGGAATTTATTTGAAATTGGAAATTTTTAAAATCCACATTAACTTTCAAACTAGGCTCATGCAACTGACTGTAACTCTGGGACCTGGAATCTGACAATATACTCACTAGAACAAAAATTCTGCACTTTTCGAAGTTATTATCCTCGCGTATCTCTTTGGCAAGTGTTCAAAATAAGCGACAAGTTCCCACAAAGGCTGAATTTACTTAATTCGGCAATAAACAAACTTTAAAAATACACCTGAGAAACTGAAACCTGTATTAAAATAAAAAAACAAATCTTTCAAATGAAGGTTTCGACATTGATTACAATTTAAAATAGTTAGACAAATCAAATGATGATAGTGCAAATTAATGTTAAGTCTCCTGAAACCAAAATTTTACTCAAACTTCTGTAAATAGAACCAAAAAGTGATTCTGAGTGGAATAATAGTCTCGTAAAGACGTAATACTCTCTCCCTCAAATTGTATTTAAAAACGTGACGTTTCCATTTTCAAACCCATACAATTTCAGTGCTTCGTGCTTATAACCAGTTTTAACATTAAATAAGGAGGAATTCCAGTAAGCCTGGAGAAATTTACCACAGTTGAAACTGCTGCACGAATCGCTTACCTTGCGTTCAAATGTCAGATTTCTACCATACAGTTCTACTCGACCACATTCTTCAAACCAAGACTTTGCGTAGTCAAGTACAAAACGAGCAAGAGTGTCCTGTTTCTGCACACCAAAGTCGCGGCAGGTCTTAAAACAACACGGTGAAAGAACGTATGCTAAACAACAGTCGATCATCGATCACTTTACTAAATAAAAGGTTTTCAAAAATTGATGCTCGCTGTAAAAACTGTCCAATGTTAAAGATGAAGACATTCGTAAAAGGTGCATTCTTATGCACCTCAAAGAAGACTGTTTAATAACCAAAGCGGAAGGCAAACCTTATGAATCCCCAAAATTGTTTCATACGGATCTTCAAGTGATCCATAGATATTTTCCAGAGCTTCTGCTACATTTTCAAACTAAATTTCAAAAAATTATTGAAATGGCGTTATAACAACCTCTACCAAAACTGACGAGTGAAACTGCTAGTTGTTTAAGCCTTAGCATGAAAATTTTGACTGAAGTGCAGTTTTAATAAGTAACAGTTAACATTAATTCTATTACTGACCTTTACTTTCTTCGCGTCATCGCTGGACCATATGTCAAATAGAACTTTTCGCCAAGTGTTATAAGGTTCAGGTAGTAAAAGAGGCCTGTAGAGCGCTTTTTTTTCCTCCTTTGTTAGTTTTACTTTATCTACATTCGTATTGTCAGTATGACCACAGTCTAGATTTTTAGTGTTCGACTTGTCTTCATCATTAAATACTGACTTAGCAGCCCTTGTCTCGCTAACTTCATGCGTTGCAATTTCCATTTGTATCTATAGTAGAAAATATATTTAAATTAAAATTTTGACAAAGAGAGAAAGACATTATCTGCTTTTAGCAGAAACCCAATTTTACAGGTTGTCAACAGCGAAAAGACGTACCACATAAAGTATCACGTCATACATAGCAGTTCACCACTGTTAATGCTTATGCCACTACTGCTGTCTTAAAAATCGAAAAATGCCAAGAAATACTCGGAAAAATTGTCCAACTTTCATAATTACTGAAAACATCCTCCTACACTTGCAGATAATAATCCTTCTACAAGGATACAACCAATCTTTAGGATTGAATTTTTGGAATCAATAGCACTCTCTTGAAACGTAATTTCTTTCACAGATAAAAGAGGGAAGACGAAAACCGGTCTGTTTTCCGATTACAAATGCATAAAATTTTCAGTTACAACAGTATGCGAAGTATTTTCAAACTTCAAATGATAAACCCTTCCTTCCCTCTCAAAAATATCTTTTATTTTAACGGCAAATCTAAAATAGTCAGACTGGCAAAGATTAAATGCTAAAAAAAAAGTAAAAAAACATTAAAAAACGGTTAATTTAATACAGCTAGCCATTCCTTCCGTAAGTGAGAACTCTTATATGCATAAAATTATTAGTGGTCTTGTCAGTGTAAAAATGATGCCACTAGTAGATAATGCGGTGTCAATATTGGGAAAAAATATAGGCAAGTTCCAAATTTGGCTGCAGCTCCGCTCAAATGAATGTCATTCCACGACGAAGCCCAACAGTTCTCCGCATCGCTCTAAACTAGAAACGGTTGAACTTCAGTACTTCACCACTATGAATATGAGCTCTCAAATTTAAAAATGCCACCAGCCGTCGCCCAAAGAGGAATTACCAATTTCCAAACTTTCCTTCTTCTTCCATCTCTATCAACGCCAAAAATCTGGACGTTTTACTTGATGACATCCTACACAAAAGAGGTAGAAAAGCTAGAAATTCAAACATCAAGTTTAGCGCTTTTTTTTGAATTTATTACAGTTTTATAAATTGGTTTTTCATTTACTCGGTACCTAACACTAGTTTCGCTAAATTAGTTTATAACGCAAACTCTAGATGAAATTAATGCGGATATAAAAAACCCTCATAAAGTTTCTTTCAGTCATTCTTGAAGTCAATCGCGGAAGGTAACTTCTTTATTGTCTCTTACTGAAGAAGACAGAAGTTTCAAAGAGCAACGACAAGAAGTAAATTAAGGGTTAGGACAATCCCTACAGATGTATCACAGAGAGTCCTATTATTCGCCAACTAAAAAGAATAAAACCGGCTTATGCCAGGAAAGAACCTGTTTATATGGTATAGTGTACAGAGTTTTTCAAAACACTTCCAAAAAATCTAGGCGAAGCAGTCACTGGTTAACTAATAGGCATATGTTAGGTTAAGGAATTGCAACTCCAACAGGGAAGGTTGAAGGAGCGGGTAATGGCTGGACTTATACTTAAATTAGAGCAGTATCTACCTAAGCATAATCAGCGAGGTACTTTTTAAAGCATATTTAAAATTAGACATGACAATTTTTGAATAAACTACTGGAGAACGCTTTGAGATTTTGGGCAGATTTTGGAGAGCAGAAACCCGTAAACCATCGTATAAAATGCAAATTTTCCAATTGCAGGTTTGATTAAATTACTCATTGAAGATCATTAAGAACTGTTTCAACGTCGCCCATTATTCGCCACACTAGCTTCTGAAATAAATTCTAGTCTTGACTAACACTTGAATAATTCACCATTCTTCTAATGAATAAGTGAAATCACTTTGACCCAATATCTGGGTTTAATTTACTCAAGAGCCATAAGGTAGGCCTGAAGTGTTCGAAGGAACGTTGATTCAACAAAGCATAATCGACCTCTGCACCTAACCTTTTATGTTCAGTTCTATTTATGCCGTGAAGCTTCTAACGAATCTCCAGTTTCCAGCATAAAATTCAACATTTTTAGCCTATATTAAGGGAAAGTTGTTTGCAACTACTCGTTCCCAGTCTTCAGCAAACAAAAGAGTTGACTCGAGAACAATTTCAAATCATTATGACTTCAGTCGACAAATCAGTACGTAAAATCTGCTTTACACAATAAATTGCTGGTTCTAACTGCTTCTTTTACACTTAGAATAATTAACGGACAAGTAATTCTAGCCTACATTACACTTAGAATACACTTAGAATAATTAACGCACAAGTAATTCTAGCCTACATTTGCTTCGGTCTTTCAAAAACTTAACAACCAACATCAAGGGGGATTTTACGTCGGTAAAGTGCAATATGAAACAACACGGTTATAAAATGCTACAGTACAACTACCTGTAACAAAGCCATCGGATCAGAATCCTCGGAACACACGTCACGACTACTCCCACAACTCAAATGCACAAGCAACAACGAATCATACTTTATGAGTCAAACTAATTTTGTTTGATCCATGTAAACTAATTCGCATTTTGATCTACAGTTTACTCTTAGAGTGCCATCCAGCTGACTAATTCAGCTGGCAAACTTCCAACTTCATCTCAAATAGCTCCCCGCTTGAACCCAACCACTTAGGTGCCCCGTGATACACCGTTGAATCTCAATTACTTCCACCACGCATTCCTCTGCCTTATATTGGATTTACCCACATGACTCATGGTTCTTGGGAGGCTTTGCAAATTACACTTTTGCCAAACTCTATCATGACTTTAATAGTCTACGAGGAATAAAATTATTTAAATAGACTTGTTTCAATCCCTGATTTTACATAAATTGCAACGTGCTTTTTTAAAATTATTAAGGAATTCAGTGAATTGTTCTTTAGCGCAACGAAGGCAACACTTGTCATCTGGGGTCACTCCGCGTTCACTTCATGAAATACATTACGCTTCTTTACTATACCTCTTCCATCCTCTTGAATCCCTGCTGAATCCTGCTAGATGCCGTAGTAGAAACAAATTTATTTTGCGATCTTCATAAGCCTTATAACGATTATTCGCCACCCGGCTTCTAGCTTATTCGAGAAGAAAAACTAATGTTAATAATAGCGTACGATTTTGTGCACAGTTGTAGAAGAATGAGAAAGAGGTGAAGCAACAAGACAAGTCTGAACATAAATATTTGTAAATAACTGACAGAAGTCGCAGAAAATGTGGAACTGCAAAGGGAGAAAGAACTCCAGAAACTTAACGTTGTTGTTAGAAGCTAGAATAGCAGATGCAGTGAATGGTATAATTTAACAGTCTTTAATTTTCTCATTCATCTGACGCCGACGATGAATTAATGAGAATTAACAATGTTTTTTTTTTCTGACCGTTTAAGTAGGACTTAGTTCTACAGAAAATACTTTACATTATGATTCTCCTTTAAACACAAAGATTGTACTTCTGTAAGGTTACTTTATAAGCTTTTTATTATACCTTCCCTCTATTTTCACCGTGTTCCATGAAAATCTCTCTTAATTTACTTATGCCTGGGATTTCAACAGTACTTTAAATCACGTAAAAAACTTATTTCTCTCACAAAAATAATCTGTAATTTCTAATTTAAAAAAAATTACCTTTGCATCCGTCCACTTTTACAGGTAAGTAAACAGTTTGTCAGCATCGTCTCAAAAAAAGTTATCGGGAAACGAAAAGTTTTAAAAAGATATGGTTAAAATTCAACATATGCATAAAATTAGAACGTCTTCATGAAAGCATAAATGCTTCAGAGTAGGAATCATAGTGAAAACCAAATAAAAAAAAAATCAAAAACAAAAAAATTACAAATCGTGATAAGCAACATAAATGCATTTAAATGGTCTTTTAAATTTATAAATTTATTACTCGTTTTTTTTTTTCTTCTTCTTTATCTTTTTTTTTCTTTTTTTTTTTCTTTTCTTTTTTTTGAACCACAAAAAGAATGCACCTAAACAAATTCAAAGTTCCATATCAGCAGTTTATAAATAGAATGACAATAAAATCGACAACTGTTCTGGTCTACAGATATTTTAAAAATGAGCTGATAAAGTTTAAATTATTTGAATACGTACAGTATACTTCTTTGAAAAGATGCCATAAGCACTGTATGGAATTTTGCCAACTATCGATTATTGAATTTTTTTCAGTCGTGTATTGAACACAAATGTTGACGGGTGGTGACGGCGTAATGCGTTACACATCTTTGGGAGGTGTTTGTCTGTGTGTCTGGGTGGTGTATCCGTGTATCTGTATCTGGGTTTGTGTGTGTGTATGTGTATTTGTATGCGTGTTCGATAGGCAACCAAATAGCAGCCGGCAGGAATTTGTTGTTTATGGTTTGTTTTTACTTTTTGTTTCGTTTGTTTAATATAATAGTTGTCTAGGCTGGTATATACATCGTCGAGACTTCTTTTGTATATTGTTTGCTGTTAAAGCAGTTTTCTTGCGGAATAAAAAGAAAGTTTCCTGGTGAAAGCCAGCTTTAAACATTTCCTTCTTGATTTTTTTTCAAGATGACGCAGCGGTTAAATTTCCATTTTCTAGCCGTCTTTGACGGATTCACTTTATAGAGCTGTCGATGGACTGTTGCCCTCTAGTGACCTCTGTTGTCCGTTTCCAAAACTGATGATCTGTTTGGTACCAATTGACCTCTTGACCCGGTTGCGTACCTTTTTGTATTATATCGGTGTGTCACTCTAATTGCCTAGGCACACCTTTTTTTACCCCTTATTTATTTTTGTTTTTTTGACACTTTTGGCAGTTAAAAACTTAATTATTTTTCTTTACCTCGACTGCTGATGATCTTCATGCAATTAGTCCTTCAATTATTCGTTCATTTATCAACAAATATTCCCAAGGTCGCTACAAATCGCTATAGTTTTTCACTCGCCAAAGATATCATCTATACTTCGCTCTTACGTTGGCAGTGATAGAAATGTTTAGGTACTTTCGGTGATTTATGTCTTATCTGTAACTTTTGATGAGTTCACTGGATATTTGTTAGAATGTCACTTTTGATGTAGCTGCAGGTAATCTATTCGCTGGTATTTGACTGATTGTTCTAGCAGCAGCAGACATTATTAACCTATCTTTTAATGTCTTTTTTCTTATAAAATATTAATTCGGCTCTGAGTGACATCCGCTTTGATACTTACACCCTTTCTTGTCTATTATTGTTTTCT